TTAATCGACTGGTTGACATGCCTTATATCATTTATATCATCATTTAACATGACTAAAAGTAAGCTTGTTTTCTCCAAATTTTCACCTTTTTTATGCTAACTAGGCGAGGTGTGTGGGATAGTATTTAAGTCATGCCACAGACTACATTTAGAATGTATTGTTTGTCAACATGTCCATTATTCTCTCCAGAGTTAAAAGGGGTAGACCTCTAAGTACCATTTGTTGGTGTTAGGGTGTCACCTCCTTTTACTTCTAAATCCTTAAAAATTATTCTATGAAGCCATCTTCATAACATCAAACTACCCTCTCTATGATGATGGGAGAGGTGATTTACACATTTATGTATTTAAAAGCTTGTGGTTCTTTGCACATGTGTGCCCTGCATGTTTACCCGCATTTGTATGCATGACTTCTGTGTCAGTTTCATGATGTTTGGACTATGAGTTTGAGGTTTTGGGGTTCAATCACCAAAACATATTGAATATGAATTTTGTATGAATTCCTAATTTTATCATCTTCTAATGAAATTTGACCTAGTGTTATTGTTGGTAGGGTTTAGCTCATGAGGCACACCCTTTCTGGTATGTTTTGTGTTGGTAGGGTTTCATCTTTGACCTTTGTTAGTGCTGGAGTAAGGTGTTCGATGTGTTCCTGATCAAGATAATATTATAAGCTCTATGTGGGGTGACTAAGCATTGTAGTTGAGTCATCCATTCCTCCTTTTTGTGTAGATTTCGTGTCCACACCCTTTGCAAGTATAATCACCACTCAACTTTTTTGGTACAAACAGAGTCAAAGGAGCTTAAATGTTTCTTTTCTTTGACTTTGGATCACTTCATATGATGCATCCCATGGGTTATTAAGAAAGTGATCCACAGTCAGATTGGGATGAATTCTTTCACGACTTAGTAGATTTATGGTTCAATAGTCTAGAATGATGGGTCCATGAAGCCCAACCAGGTTATCTCTACATTTCTATGTTTTTTTCTGATCTATCCCTCATAGGCACAATCATTTCCTTTGCTGGGTCTTTTGTAAGCACGTATTGTAAGCCCTTTTAGCTTAGTGATGGCTACCAACGAGGTTACAATTCTTCCGATGGTTAGAGGATTTCTCCTTATCGAGACTACTAAAAATCACATTGACTACCAATGTTTCAGAACTATTTAAGCAAACAAATTAACTTTTATTATATGTTTTCCTAGATATCCCCTTTGATGCAATTAGCAATGAGGATACATAGTCGTGGGAGGTCTCTTTGAACCCAAAATAAAATAAATTTGATTTTCTATTCTAATTTGGTTACAAAAGTCTTTTCTATAGGGAGATTCTTGTATATTCTCTCGGATCGAGTAAGATCTGATTTACTTGGGATCACTCTTCTCTAGTTTATATTAAAAAAGATTTCTTTTTGTAGCTACACCTTTTATTTCATTTCATTTTTTTTTTTCCATTTTTAATTTTCCTCTTTCTTCCTTAGCTTTTATAAGCAAAGGTGACCTAGAAAAAGGACGGATTTGGAAAAGGGACAAACACAAAGAAGGTCATTCTAGCCAAGGCAGAAAGAGGCACGAACACCAATGGTGGGTACTCTCCTCTACCATATCGCTAATTATAAAAAAGAAGAAGGCATTAGACCAAGGGAGTTACTCTTGGCTCATGCTCTATGGTTTCCCTTATAAACACTATTATCTGCTCCTTAAGTTCGTTAATCTACTACATTATAAACTCTCTGATGCACTTTATATTGTTTTATACTACAATGTTGCTTGGTTTTACTCTTTGGATAACTCATCTTCCTATTTGTGGCATGTTTCACACTTACCACACCTTTCATGATATTAGATTATGAATTGTATGTTGATTCAAACACTAAACAAAAGAGTTTGAATGATAGAAAGGCAAGAGCACATATAACAAATACTTTAAAAAAAAAATAAGTGCTCTTCGATTTCTCAAAATCAATTACTATTGTTGCAATAACCATTCGTATTTATAGATGGGTTAACATATATGTTCTAAATAGTATATTAATTTTATAAGAATATTAATAGATATGTTATATATCCCCATTCTCTCCTTCTAGCATGCTCGTTATAATGATTTTTTTTTGTAACACCTTGCCATGATAATTGGTCCCTTCATAAATGTTCTCATTTTGGCATTTTATCTTTAATAATGCCCTCGCCACTCAATTGGTTATTGATGTGAGCGGCCAAGGTCTCAATCGGTTTGGAGGATTCACTATTAAATTTGTCATATATGCTTGGCCAGGTTGGTCTCTTGGGCGAGATAACTGAGCTACAATGGTTGACAAACATTGCTTGACCATCTCAGACAAACTATCTAGTTGTGTCACTTGATCAAGCTCCTTAGGCAAAGGGTCTAACCGAGTTGTCTTGCTATATGGATTAACTAGCTTACATCTCATCTTAAAGTTGGTGCAAAGAATTTGATCTTATACTTATTTTACATGAAAATCTTGCATAACAAATAAATAAAAAAAGTATAAAACACAAAAAGTTTCTATTTGAAAAACTCAAACCAGAAAAATTTGTGGCCTAACCCATAAAAAATAATCTACCATAATAGTTAAAATTATAAATGATTGCTCTTTTCTTTAATTAGAGAAGAAATGATTACCGAGTAATGTACTACACACTAATTTATACTTTGGCAACTCAAGTGTAGATTGAATATGACGTGATGACAGTTAAGTGATAATGATTTGATGATAATAATCGAGAGATGAAGATCTAGGAACTACAATTGGGTGCTAGTCTCAGATGATGATGGTTGAATAATAATAGTTGACAATAGCAGTTGTACGATATTACTGGTAGGACAATAATTGTCAAGTGATGACAATCAAACCATGATGGTTGAGTGATTATATTTGAGTGATGGCTTGGATAATGATGATTAGGTAATGGTGGCGGGACAATAGTGATAGGATGTCTGTAGTTGGACAAAACTCTAAAATTTTACAAATCTCTATACTCCACTCAAGCCTAGGACCCCCTTCAAATAGAGATTGAGGCTATTCATAATTTATTTATGGCATTTTAGTAAATATAACAAAAGCCTAAAAACACATCATAGGATGAATCATATTGATCTCTTTAATTATGGTTTATTCAATAGAATTTTGCCTTAATAACCTCAAAATTAAGCAATCCCAAACCTGTTAAATTCCTCTCATCAAGTTTAATGTAACTATAAACATATAAGATTTGAATATATTTTAGTCTTTTTATTGATACATCACACTTTTTAAATATATTTTACGTGTTCGATTTTAACTCGTCTGTACTCGAATTAAATCACTGTCAATATTGTTAGATTTAGTTGTTGCATTTGACCATTAATATGTCAAAATTAAAACTCCAATGATCTTAAGTTTAATTAGAAATTATATCATCTATAAGAGCAATTTATTATTTATATATATTCTTATTTTCTTATTTATATGAAATTAGGTGATTTTTCCAATTCAAGCAGTCTCTCAATCAAGCTGCAGCCGCGTGTCAAAATTTAAAATAATTGCAGTGTTTGCTAATTAATCAGCGGAGGGAACCAGGTTAGTAAATAATTGAGCACCATCTACTCATTCAAAACAAGCTGCAGCTCAGCCCTTATATTTGCATCTGGTACTAATCTCAAAAATAACCAAAAATAAAACTTATAACCTATTGTGAGGGTAATCTTTTGAATCTGCAGGGGTTACCTCCTAGCAATCTGGTGAATGATTCTGGACTAAAAATATTGACGAAAATGTTACTCACTCAAATGCGAAAATATCACGATGGGTAAGAGTACATGAATTGACCTCGAACTTTGACTCATCACAATGTATGGATTCTTAGCATGTAATTAACATGTCAACATTAATGATTATAAACTTGAGCTATGTTTTATATGTTCACAACTTTAATAATGATTTTTGGTCATTTGTGTACATTTATCTATATTTGTCTTAAAATTTTCAGTTTTGTAAAAGTAATTCTATTTCATGTATGCACTTCAGAAGATCACTAAGCATATGGGATAGTTGTAGTTGTTTGAAAAATATGTCAAACTACTGCAGAAGAAACTGTTGTTCAAGAAGCTACGATTGCTATTACAATTTATTTTTTTAAAAAGTCGGACCATAACTTTTTGACAGTCATCACACTTAGGAAGATCAGTTTACAAAATACAGCTTTTCCATCACATTTCTTAACGATATAGGCAAAACACAATTTTGTTAAACGCCCTAATTGTGCCGCTGCAACTACCCCCAAACAGAGAGCCCCAATTTTTTTAACTCAGGCAGAAGTATTGAACCAAAACTGCATATTGGCATAATGATATCTTTCTTATTCTAACAAATTTTAGGGACGTTTACAAACATACAACACAATGTTTATGTTACATGTATAGCACCCAAATCTTTAACACTACAAAAAATACCACTATTACTAGCATTTTAAAAGCGAATACACATTTTCATGGTTAGGTTTTTGATACCAAAATATTATAAATAAAAATATTAAGCTTTATGTGATAGACATGTAAATTCATATGAATTGTGTGTTATGTATGTAAATTTCCCTAAACTTTGTTTCTGTTCTTCATATCCTGTTTTGCAGTCAAAACAAAAGCACCATTCACATGAAACCTCCTTGAGTTCCATATAAAACTCTTGAAAGCCATTTACTGTCATTCTTACTGATGAAACTAATTCTATAGTTTGGGACACTGGAATTGGTAATCCTGTAATTTTTATTTTGGTCAGCCAAAACTCCAAATAAATTATAAAAAAAAGTAGTGATGCAGATATTTTTCACTCAAGTACCTTACTCTTCTAATATTAATAAGTTGAATATTTATCAATTTCTCAATACTTCGATCGTGGCACGTGTAAACACATTGGTTCAGTAGTTCAAAAAAATCACCTGGGTGCTTATATGTAAATATCAATGTTTCGGGCAGTTTGTAAGTAATCATCCCTAAAAATTAAGCAGGTATTCTGTTCAATGCTTCCAAAATAAATCATACAGAATAAAAAAGCCTGTTCTGTTTATTGCATCAGATAAAGTCAATTTCCACAGGCACAAATAGGTATAACATTACAGCAAATTTATTAAGCAATAATGTTCAAGACCAATTACTACACAAAGTTACAGAATTAAAACTGTAGCACTAACCTTCTCTGCATGACAGTCTAAAGTTCTGAATAGTTATCTTCCCTCCAAAATCCCTTTTTTTGTTCAATGGATCTTCTTTTAAGCCTTGAAGCCAAACGTGGACAAATGTCACAACTGAATAAGTCTGTGATAGCAAAGGCTCGTCTTGCAAAATTCTCTTTACAACAATGCCTGCAAAGATAAGATGTGCTTCAATTTAAAACAATTGCAAATATATAGATTTTTGTACTTCAAATGTTCAATAAAGATTCAATATTGTTGACAAAAAAGGGGGGAATAAATATAAAAGTAAGATATATTATATGTTATAAAGCTTTTAATGTTAACTTCAATGATAAGAGGGACAAGATGCAAAGGAGCATACAAACCAAATATTTCAAGAAACAAAATGTGTTCAAATTTAAGGGTCTTTTTTGGGAACAGTTGCAACTTTTCATAAATGAGATTGTTAACCTATTGTGGAACAAATAAAATTTTTAAAGCTGTTGTGAGTATTATATATAATTTCTGGGATAATTACATATGCAACACTCTAAACATTACTATTTACAATACTAGGACCTAGGAGATTTTTTGGAACTATCGAATCAATGCATTTACGCATGCCACGGTCAAACCATTGAGAATTTCATAAAAATGAAAAAGGATGAAAGAGGATGCTAGATTTATAAATAGCAATTTTTCGAGTGTTATGTATGTAATTGCCACTATATACTTTTGTTTTTAAGAAACTCAGATAGCAGCTTTTTTATAACAACCACATTTCAGCTGAAATGGTTCTCAAAAATAATTTCTCACCACAAAAATTTCTAAGAACTAGCAATAAAATCGTACATAAATAGATGTGTGACAGCCGTCTGAAAATTAAAGCAATGAAAAAGCTTCACAAAACAGACCCTAAGTCTGTAATACGACAAATGTTAATTCTGCAATTTCATCTCCAACCACAAGAAAAGAGAGTCTGGTGTAATAAAATATGTTAAAACACTAACAAATAATGTCATAAACATAAATTACACTATACGACGAGCTTGATATAACAAGTTACATATGTGAAAACCTCAATAATTTGGAACTCTGAGCATATATGTAAATTTTAAACCAAAAATAAATATTAAATGCTGTGAACATGAAAGAAAATGCAAGCTCGTATAAAAATTTCAGTATCATGACTTACCTCATTCTCTCATTGTGAATTAAATATCTACAGCAGATTTAACCGGCTCGGTCTTCTCCTACAAAGAAAACACAGAGCAATTATAGCACAAATAGTCTTTTGTAGAAGCATTCTTAAAACGGCCAGGACCCAACAAAACACATCATTCTAAGCTTGTTCGGGATTATTTTAATTTATTGCTTTCTATATATATATATATATATACAGACACACATACACACATATATATTTCTTTTATGTTTAAAAACATGTTTGTATAGTGTTTTCTTTTACAATTTTTTTTTATTTTCAAAAACAAATTAACATATTTTTTAAAACATTCAAAAAAAACTTTTAGTTGTTTCGAGTGTTTCTAAAAACAATCATACCGTTTGGAATAACTATTGTTTTTTGTTTTCCTTTTCTTTTTTTTTTATATTTTGATTTAAATTAAACATGTTTAATTGAGGTTGTTGTTTTTAAAATATTCAAAGCATTATTTAGATGTTTTGAGTGTTTTAACAAGTTAATTTGTTTTTAAAAATAAAATATAAAAATATATAAACAAATATACCAGCCTTGATCCCGAATGGCCCCTAAGTGAACCAAAAGTAATGTCAAACAGGTCCTAATCAAATATGTTAATCATGTTTTATTTTAAATAAAAAATAAATAAAACCAAATTAAAAAAAAAAAGTGATCTCAAATGGTCCCTAAGTGAACATAGGAAGTTTGATATTTTATAATTTTGAATTAAAAACCTCGTCTGAAATCCGTGCCCTTCGAATTTCGCGAGTTGGAGTTCTCATTGTGACGAATTCTTCAGCAGACGTAGGATGGATCCCAATGGTGGCATCGAAATCCGCTTTAGTCAATCCAGCTTTTACGGCAATCGCAATACCCTGAATCAAATCAAATTAGAGAAATTTACATACATACATAACAACTTGGTGCTTTAAAACTATGCGTGAAAATGTGTATTTCAGTTTTAAGAAGTGTTAATAGTGCTATTTTTATATGATATTAAAAGTTTTGAGTGTTACATGCGTAAATATGAAAGTTTAGGTGCGCTTAATGTAAATACATAAGAATTGTGTGCTATATATGTAAAAGCCCCATCAAATTATCTGACGAGATCCTGAAAAGAAACAGATTAAAAACAGAAAACAATCAGCACAAAATCACCAACCTGAATCATCTCCGGCGAGTCTTCTCCACACATGTGAACACCCAAAACTTTGTTTGACTTTGCGCAAACAATTATCTTCATGAGTACTCGATCGGGCAGGCCGGAGATAGTTGTCTTCAAAGGCCTGAAGTTCGCCGTGAAAATGTCGACATCGCCGTATTCTTCAATTGCCTGGAACATTTAGAACTGTAAATAAATTTTTAAGGGCACTTACATACATTCCACCAAATTCCTATGTATTTACATATCTATCCAACCTAAACTTTACTTTTACATTCACACCAATGAAATCTTTCGTATCACCTTAAAACTACCACCATTTTTACTTTAGAAAAAGTAAAATACACCTTTTCATGCATAGGAAAGGTTGAATGTATGTAAAAACTGAAGTTTCGGTTTTAGATATGTAAATACATAGGAATGGAATGGTTTGTATGTAAATCTTCCAAATTTTAAAAAAAAATTGGCATATAAACTTTATGATATCCTCACCTGCTCTTCGGTAAGACCAACTTGGCCAATTGGTGGCTGAGAAAAGACGGCTGAAGGGACAGCCCTATAATTTTGATATGTGGAATATGTAAGAGAGAACACAGATAATGAACTATACATAATCATTTAAAATAAAAAATAAAAAAATTAGGGTCGGCCGTGCAAACCAACCCCTGAAAATTTCATTAATTATGTCAGTTATATGTCTAGACAACCATACAACACCCATCAAATAAGTAATGGGCGTGGCATATATAACCAACTGACCTTTTTTAAACTCAACACAATCATATATAAGCAGAAACCCCAAAAACAGAATAACTAAGTGGATAAATAAGAACAAAATGTTCAGCTGTCTCTCATTAAGAGGTAGAAATGATATAATAAAGGAAAGTTCAACAACTAAACCAACTTTACATTTTCCTTTCACAAAGATGTAATAAGAAACTTAGTTAGCGAAGTTGTGTGTATTGCTTGAACAATAAAATACGAATGAATTATTGAAAAAAAGTTTCATTTTTCATGCATCATTAAAAAAAAAGAAGAAGGAAGATTTACATACATACCATACCAATCACTTCCAATGTAGCTACTTCACTTTTTTACATACATAACATCTAACCTATGAAAGAAAAATTACTTTTTAAAAACTAAAATAGCAGCATTTTTTACGTAACATGAAAGACTTGGGTGGTACATATGTAAGAAAGTAAAATTTAGGTGCTAGGTATGTAAATACATAGAAATTGGGTGATATGTATGCAATTGCCCCAAAAAAGTATGCATATATTTTAAAAGCGTACACACATTTACTTTGACTGCTCATATTTTACATGCACAAATTTAGAGAGAGAGAGCACCATTCATTTAAAATGATTGAAAAACTTGCACTTCTTTCACCGGCCATCTAAAATTTTTAATGGTGGAGATTAAAACTAATTTAAATTTTTATTAATTTAGTTGCATTGAATCTTAATCATTCAAAATTTATGACGGAAGGTGAAAGTTGTGTGAGGATAGGGGTCTTATCCTTCAACATGAACACTACTCCCTCCCACCCCAAAAACTTGCACGAATGTATATGAGTTTGTCAACTCAACCAGAATCAGTTGAATTTGACATGTAACTATGTAAATAAGTTTGTCAAGTCAACCCAGGTCTCTTAAATTTAATATGTAGTAGTGATCACCTCATTTTAGAACAAAATAAATCAAAACCTTTTCTTTAAAGGGGGGCATTTACATAAGCACTATCCAATTCCAATGGATTTACATATCTAACACTTAAATTTTACTTTTAAATTTAGACCACCCAAATAGTTTATATTAAATAAAACATACCACCATTTTAATTTTTAAGAAGTCAAATACATTTTTTTATGCATAGGTAAGGTGCTATGCATGTAAAAATTGATGTTTAGGTGTTAGATATGAAAATCGATAGTAACTGAGGAATTGAAAGGTATGAATATAAATCTTCCTTTTCAAAATTGCTCTACCACAATGAAATGTGGGGAAAATGCACCTGTAATCTGGCTTCACAGGTTGATTGCCAAATACAGTCTTTGCAAATGCCCCCCCTTCCATTAATGCGACAGGTGTCAAATTTATCCTATCAGTTACATCTCCAACTGCCCAAATAGAGTCAACAGATGAACGAGAATATTCATCGACCTGAGGACAATCATAATAGATAAACAGAAAAAATATTTATACTTCATAATAACGATACCACTCAATCTACAAATACATGCATTGATGTAGAAAAATTTACCACTATGGCTCCATTCTTTCCCAATTTGACACCAACTTCCTCCAAACCCAAGTTCTGCAAAATTGTAAAAAACAATAATGGCTGAAAGTTAACACCATGTAATTATGTAGGAAAAGAAAGTAAAATATTAAGAGAATGAACCTTCGTGTTGGGCTTTCGGCCTGTGGCAAACATTACATGAGAAAAACCATCGATAGTCCCTTTGTTAGTTTTCAATGATAGCAAACCATCTGCCGATTTGAGAATAGCCTGAGGTGACTCCTCAGTGTGAAACTCAATGCCCCTTAGAGACATCTGCTCGCCAACAAAATCCCTAATCTACATAGTTTTAAACAAAGATTAAACGCTTTTTAAACAAAGATTAAACGCTCATTTGGCATCAATTTTATTTTATGATTTTTTTTTGTTTCTCTTTTGTTTTCAAAAACAAGTTTGTTTAGTGTATTATTTTCTATTTTTTATAAAAGATCAATTTATTTTTAAAAACACTCGAAATAGCTTATGTGTTTTTAGTGATTTTAAATACAATTATTGCAACCAAACATATTTTATTTCAAATTAAAATATAAATAAAACAAAATAAAATAAATAAAAACAAAAGTAATCCCAAACAGCACCTAGCCTAGACTTTCAGGGATTTACAGACCTCCTCGTCGAAGCCTCTTAGAACTTTCTTTTGCCTGATAAATACATGGACATCACTTCTTAGACCATTGAAGATGCCGGCGAATTCTAATGCAATATATCCACCCCCAACTATAGCAATCTTCTCGGGTTTTGAAGGCAAATCTAACGCGGCGTCTGAGTCGATAGCAAACTCTTTTCCAGGAATATCCGGAATTGAAGGTCGCCCACCGACAGATATGAGTATGTGCCTCGCATAGTAACGTTTACCATTAACATCGATTGTATGTGGATCAACAACCTACATCATCGATAAAAATAAGCGAAAAAAATAGAACTGAAGTTTGGGAAATTTACATATCTAGCATCACAATTCTTATGTATTAACATATCTCACAGCTAAACTTTCATATTTACACACATAGTACTCAAATTTTTAATATCACATCAAAATAGCACTATTTCAATTTTTAAAAGTGAAATACACATTGTCATGCATAGGTTAAAAGTACCAAAGTGATATGTGTGTGAATATGAAAGATTAGGTGAGAGATATGTAAATACATAAGAATTGTGTGCTATGTACGTAAATGCCCCCTAAAGTAATAGCTAAGGCAAGCCATTCAACATAATATGCCTTATATTTCAATTTGATTTATAACAAAATCAAACCTTTCCGCGGCCTTCAATTAGCATCACCCCGGCATTCTTTAAAATATTTTTATAAATTCCAGTTAAGCGCTGTAATTCGGCATTCTTGTTGGCTATCAGAGTACTCCAATCATGCTTAGGATCAGTTTCGTAGTTCCAACCAAAGCCATGACTCTCTTCAAACTCATGAGAAAACTTTGATGCATACACCAACAATTTCTTTGGCACACATCCACGAAGAACACATCTACATTACAAGGGTGAAACAAAAAAAAAATCTTCATGTAAACTTCAGCAACACAAAATCATTTCCTTAACTAATATTATTTTAAAAAAGGATACTAACCATGCAAATAATAAATCTTGACTCAAACTAGGATTAAATCAAAATGTTGAGAGGAGCATTTGATACCAATGATCTCAAATCATGCAAATCAGCATCTCCCAAAGGAAGGAGAAAATGCAAAAAAATTATCAAAATGAAAAAAAAAATCTGGGCTAATTAGACACGAAGAGCCCCAGAAAAATGATTGCATAATCAACTTCTAACTTTCAATTGTTTTTTTGGCACAATTCAAACTAGAGTATCACTAAATCATCAATAGTGCATGTTTGAAATTCCATATAGACAAAGGTAGAAGTGCATATCTCAAGTTTAATTGCTCCTACAAAATGATAAGTTAGAAATTGAGATCATTATAAGGTTTATCGCAGATTAAAATTCACATCCATAAGTATTTCACACAAGTAAAATTCACTCACTCCTATAATACTCATTATTACAATCATTACCATAGACTCCATGTCCATATTACAATGTGCCACATTTGCATGCCCAGCAGACTAGATTATCTCAATAACCTTACCTAATCCATTCTAAGATGAGTGTTAAAGAAATCAATGACGATATAGAGCACACTATGAAGCACGAATACGACATGATAGTAACTTCATGACACAACAAAAATACAATAACACGTCGTAACAATAAAAAATAGGGCACAACATGTCGTAGATACAAAATTATGTTTTATAAATTATTGATATAAAATTTATAATTAAACCAAATAATGTAAATACTTTTATTAAGAAAATCACATAATTAAGTATAATACCATTTCTATCATATTAAAAGCTTAAGGGTAGAAAAAAAGAAAAACAAGCGTTACTTTAATTACAATTAAATTCAAATTTTATCAAGTCCACTAATATAAGAATTTGATGAATAATAGTATTAAAAATAAAATAATCTTCAATTTGAGAGAAAAAAACTGTGATAAAAATCTAAAAAGAACCATAGATCTATAGTTCATGATCGCATCACACAAATTCTTCAAAAAAGAAAGATTATAAAGCCATTGCATTTCCTATAGTTCATGGTCATAACAACATTTTACTGTGCTTAAAAAGATTGAAAAATATATAAATAATAAGATGCCATCTGACTCTATGCATAGATTATTCCACTGACAACTACAATACATATCAATCCAACAATGAAAAAAAAAAAAAAACTTATTGTAAAACCCCACCATTCATTCTCGAATTCAGATTTTCCTCTAGTTTCAGGTCTCCAATACAATGATTCATAAACTGAATGATTATTAAATATAATGGCAAGAAAAACACACATATTTTGAGCTAATAACTCCTCATATATCTGCGTATAGTTCCTACTCATCATTAGAATCTTCCCCTGCTATATCACTTTCAATTCACCAAAAATACAAAGAAAAAGCACGGCAGCTTACGTTCCACCAACTCCACCAGTCTCTTCAGACGATATCGCAGCAAAAGGGAGCTCGCAGATCGCAACAGAAGCCCCATAGCTCGCTGCGAAGCGCGAGGCACGGACCCCTCCGCTCCCTGCGCCGATCGTGAAGAGGTCGAAGTCGAAGTTATGGCGCTCAACTACGGCCCCGTTGTCGCTATCTTCACCAGCTGCCGCTCGAGCACCAATGCAACGGTAACTGAGCGAATTGGGGCAGCGTGTAAAGAGAAGGGAAGAGGTTGCGGAGAGCGATTTAGGGATTCGGAAGAAAGGAGATGGGAGCTTTCTGGTTAGTGATTGAAGCGTAGAAGAAGAGGAGAAGGGGATTAGCGGTGCGGTGAGGGAGGCAGCGGCAGCAGCCATGGCTCGGGGTTTGGTGATTTTGCAGAGGGAGAGAGAAATAATATAATTAGTAGTGCGATTTTATTTGCAATTCGTGATGCTAATTGACATCAATATGAAGGTTTGTTATTTATTATTATTATTTTTTTTTGGATAAGGGATCGTCTATTATGCCTATGAATGTGTATCTATAGCTACTATATTAAAGTTGCCCTAAAAGGTTGAAGAAAAATTACATATAAAAATAAAAAAAATATATATCTATAAGAGAAAAAAAAATTATTATTAAAAAAGGAAATAAAATAAATATTTTAAATGAGCACATAAAATATCTTTCATTAGAATAGAAATTAAGGACTCTATTTACACTTAAATCACATTCATTATAAGAAGGATTAAAGGTGTGCTTGGGGTGCCGCTTTTGTCGCTTCTCATCCCCAAAATGCAGAATGTCGTGTTTGGGAGCCCGTTTCCCACGTGCATTTTGGCGTCATTCGAGTGCACAATGACACAAATCTAAAACAACGTAGGGGTGGGGGTGTTATGTCCGCGGTTTGAGCTCCATTTTGACTTCGAAATATCGTCATTTCCCCTTCTACAATCTATGAAATTCCTCCCTCTATCCCCTTTCTCACCTTCTTCTCCCATTCTCAGTCATTTTGTCTCTTTATGGCAGAAAGCTCGCTCCCTTCTCCCCTCCGTTCATTCTCAGTGTCGTCCACTCTCTACATTTTGGTTAGAGCTTCGTTTAGGCTTCAAAATATCTTCATTGCCTCTCTACAATCTCCGAAATTATCAAACCGCTATCATAGAGAAAAATGGAGATGGAGAGATAATACAGAGATAGACAGAGAGAGTTAACAACACCGAGAATGAACAGATGGGAGAAGGGAGTAGGCTTTCTGCCCTAAAGACACAGAACGAGCGAGAATGGGAGAAGGCGATAAGGGGTATTTGCAGGGATAAAAGGAGGAATTTCGGAGATTGTAGAGAGGCAATGAAGATATTTTGAAGCCTAAATGAAGCTCAAACCACAAAAGGGGAGTGTAGTGGGGGGGGGGTACATTTTGTGGTTTGAGTTTCGTTTAGGCTTCAAAATATCTTCATCGCCTCTACACAATCTCTGAAATCATCAAACCACTATCATAGAGAACAATGGAGATGGAGAGATACATACAGAGATAGGCAGAGAGAGTCGACGACATCGAGAATGAACTAATGGGAGAAAGGAGTAGGCTTTTTGCCTTAAAGACACAAAACAAGCGAGAATGGGAGAAGAAGGCATGAGGGGTATTTGCGGGGATAAAATGAGGAATTTCAGAGATTTTAGAGAGGCAATGAAGAGGGGGTGGGGTGAGGGGCTACATTTTGTTGTTTAAGCTTCAAAATATCTTCATTGCCTCTATAATCTCTGAAATTCCTCCTTTTATCCCCGCAAATACCCCTCACCGCCTTCATCTCCTATTCTCGCTCGTTTTGTGTCTTTACGGCAGAATGCCTCCTCCATTTTACCATATGTTCATTCTCGGTGTCGTCGAATCTCTCTGCCTATCTCTGTATGTATCTCTCCATCTCCATTGTTCTCTATAATAATGGTTTGATGATTTTTATTTTGTCTTTTTCCCATTTGACTGGTTTGATGGTTTGATCGTTTGTGTTTTATCATATTCCAAGTTTACCTATTAGTGGTTTGATGATTTCTATTTTATAATTTTTTTTTCTTTTATTCTCTTTAATTTCCTAAGAAATTACATTGACCTGATGGAATTCTGAAAGTTTAGCTAGTAGATGAGTTAGATAAGTTACATTACATTAATTGTATTTCATTACCTTTGCTTCAATTTTGTCACTACTGATTCATTTGAGATGACCATATTTTCCTTTCACGTGAAATTTAGATGTTGGCTAAGTTATTACCTTTCATTTTACTTTTGTTCAATAGGAAAAGTAATTTATGGAAAGATATATGAGCACTGTTGCTTATTTTGAAAAATTATTTTGAAGTTATGTTAGATATGAAAGTTCTGATGTTATACGAGTAATTTTATTTCTCATACATCTGCTTTAATGTAAAAAAGCATTTTTTATAGAGAATTATGGTCATTGTTGGTTTTTTTGGAAATATAAAAATGAGAGATTGGTTTGAGCCCATATAAACATGAATCTTGAATGTTAGATAAGTTATTTTTATTTCACTTGCCTATTTTGTAATCTAGAAAAGCATTTTTTTAGAAAAAATTATAAGCATTGTTGGTTTTTTAAAAAAATTATATATGGGAATTTTTTTTGGTCTAAGCAAATATGAAGTTTAGAAGTTAGGTAACTTATTACCTTTCAGTTTCCTCTCATTCAATGAGGAAAAAATATTTATGAATAAGGATTTCAGCACTGTTGTTTATTTTGAAAAATTATTTTGAAGTCATGTTAAATATGAAAGTTTTGATGTTAGATGAGTAATTTCATTTCTCTTACATTGGTTTTAATGAGAAAAAATATTTCTGTATGTAATGATGATCACTGTTAGTTTTCTTTTGGGAAGATATACACGAAAGATTGCTTTGAGTCCGTGTAAATATGTTGCTTAGATGTTAGATAAATTATTTCATTTCACTTATTTCTTTTTCGATCTAGAAAAGCTTTTTGGAGAAAATTATGAGCACAATTGTTTTTTTTTTTAATATATACAGGAAGTTTCGTTGATCTAATGCAAACATGAAGTTTAGATACAAGATAAGTTAGTGCCTTTCACTTTCTTCTTGTTCAATAAGAAAAATAATATATATATATATATATATATATATGTGAAAAATTATTTTAAATTTATGCTAAATATGAACGTTCTGAAGTTACATGAGTAATTTTGTTTCTTTTACATATGCTTCAATTTGAAAAAAAACATTTTCTGTAGAGAATTATGATTACTATTTATTTTTTTGGAAAGATATACATGGAAGAATGCTTTGAGCTCATGTAAACATGGAGATTAGAAGATAGAAACATTATTTCATTTTAATTGCCTCTTCTTAAATCTATAAAAACATATTCTAGAGAGAATTATGAGCACTGTTAGTTTTTTTTAAAAAAAAAATTATACATGAAAAATTTCCTTGATCTGATGTAAACATGAAGTGTTGATGTTAGACTAATTATTTTCTTTCACTTTCCTCTCGTTGAATGAAAAAAATAACTTATGGATAGATATATGAGCATGTCGCTTTAAAATAGTGATATTTAATATACATAATTTTTATTTTGAAAATTAGTATTTTAATTTTTGAAAAAAGAGACCAAATAGATCTTATATATCTAATAGTTTAGATAGTTGAGCACGATATCACAAGTGATATACCATCTCAAAAGATTAGCATATCACTTGTTAGTAGGTTTAACCACTTAAACTAAGAAGCTTATGAATCTATTTTGGTCTGTAAAATTTCTGACTGACAATTCTCTTATCTAATATAGGAATTAATCAAGGTTTATTTTACTTAGGTTCTTAGTTCTTTATAAAGGCAAGTCCCTATAGTTAATTATATCTCAAATGACCGAAGTCACTTAAGAAAACTCTCGATTAAGATTAGTGGTTTTGTCTTCAAGATTTTAAAGTTTAGATTTTTAAAATTAGATATGGAAAATCAGGTGAGAAAGGACCAAATAGGAGCAGCTATTTAGGAGTCCAAATGAGAGAAGAGTAGGGGATGCCACGGATCTTGAGGAGCACTATCCTATTGTTTTTTTTGCAAATTTTAGAAGTGATATTATTTACTTTTTCAATCATGTAATTTATTTTAGAATTTATGACTTACATTCGCATTATATCCGACCGTGCAAATAATCTAGGATAATAGAATGATTTATGTTGTACCGAACGATAACCTCAGAATATTAAAAGAGTTAGAGTTTATATTGCACAACATGATCGTACAAAGGACTAAAAGATAGAGTGACAATTTATGTCGTGCTAGACGAACAACCTCTAAGTCCTATGAGTTATGTTGTTTAAAGTTAAGGAAAGTTATGTTGAGGTAGATTTCTTCATATCATGTCTTGATCGTCATCTGAAGTTTTTCTTCATCTGCTTGCATCCTTGTCATGTTGCCCAAAAAACTTGCTCCGAGCTTCTCACTGTGATGGTTTTGGATTTACGGTTTATTTGTTAGCATGTAATTAATGTTGGGTCTCGTGGCCTGATGTAGAGTTCCACCTAGCATATGTTATACTGTTATCTACCCTAGGGGTCTTTGCGAATACATTAAATTAAGCATGCTGTAAAAATGCAATAAAGGACAGTGCTGGAAAAAAAAAGTAGTTTCACGTACTTGTTGCTTCTGCCGCTGTTGAAAGGTTAGTATTATAATCATAACATCATAATGTATAGGACATTAAAAGAAACACGGGAAAAACATAAGCATGTCATATAAATTAGATGGCACATATAGAAGATCAGAGCGGGGTATAAGAATTTAAGTTATAGGGAAGCTGATAATCAGAACCAACAACCCTGATAATTCTGCTCGAATGACTATGCAGGAAAATTATTAGCAACATATGGTAAAAGGCTACCAACCAAGCAATCATAGGGGGGCAATCCTCAACCCGGTCTATGTGACCGACGCATGAATTTGTCCAAAGTGACACTTTCAAAAACGAGTTTTAATTTATCATACAAAATTATTTGAGTTTATATATTTTTTTGGCAAACAAAATATGTGTTTTATTTAAAAAGTATATTATGATATTATATGTGTATTTTTAAAATTGGACATTCATGAGTCAGTCACACCGATGGGCTAGGACCATCGACTACCCAAAAGAGCAAAGCGTAACTTTTTACTAAATGTTAGGGAGAAGTAATGCCAATCCTTGACTCTCAGGTCAGAATATGCAATAGTCCTCACATATCTAGATGCCTTTTTCATCATTGCTCTTACCACAAAGACAACTAACTTACACCTCCATATGTGGCCATTTTAAATATCACCAATTGTTGAAAGGATTTGAGTGTAATGTTCAAACTCATACCCTTATGCATTGGATTTTACTATAGGTTAAGTTGTAATGGGAAATTTCATTGATGTGAATT